AGCTTGGATCCAGAAAAGAAGAAAGCTTGGAGGAAGACCAAGAGCTGAAGAGCAAACAGTTTTGCAGGAGCACAGAGGACTCTTAGGAGGCAAGAAAAGCAACAGGAGACAAGTTGCAGAGCCACCTAGAAAAAGGGAGATGACTGCTCAAGAGAAGCTGGAGATTGCAAACTTCATAGAGGAACAGAAGCAGAGCTGTGCTGATGAGGGTGAGCTCTACCAGATAGCTTCTCAAAAGTACGGACTAGACAAAAGGAGGCTGAGAGATATGCATGCAAGAATGGCAGAGTGGCATACCCTCACAACGAAGTTGGGAGTTGGAACTCAGGGAGGAGCCAAGAGAGGTAGCAAAGCAAAGAGAATCAGGAGCAGGCGAGGTATCAGAGCTTTGGGAGGAGGAAGAAAGAATGACTTTGCAGAGGAGATTGAGAAGCTGGGAAAGTGGCTATCTGAAGAGAGGAGCAATGGCCACAACATCAGCAAGAGAGAGGTCAGGGAAGAGTTCTACTGTCTCCTAGTTGCAAGGTCTGAAAGATGCTTGGTGCAAGCTCAACAAAGCACAGATGAGCTTCAGAAGAAGTTGTGGGAGCTTGAAGCAGCAAAGTCACTGGAGAGGAAGAAGAAGTTGCAGAACAGCAAGAGCTATGCACAGAGTTACACAGATGACCTCTTGAAGTGGATGGGGGCAAAGTTCATGTCCAAGGAGCAGACCACCCCACTAGCTCCATTGGAGCAAAAGGTGCGAGCACAGCTGAGCTTCCAATCCATAGATCACAAGCTGTGGCTCATGGGAGCAGCTCCCAAAGAAGAGCTACAGTCAGCTCAGATAGTCTCAGATGTTGACCAGGTGATATCAAACCGGCACAGATTGTGCATAGGCATGTCAGATCAAGTTCCTCTGTGGGCCAAAAGTCCCTCCACCAGAGTTGTGTTTGCAAAGGAAGATCTGCAAGGAGTTGGGGCTGAGGTGAGGAGGGAGTTCAACACTTGCAGGGAAGAGCTGAAGGCTGCACAGGAAGCTTGGAAAGAAGGTGGCTTGCAGTTGGTCACAGGTACAGATGGAGGTGAGTCAGCTGGCAAGCGTGTTGCTGGCAGCAGAGTTTTGAAGGGAGACAGCGCTGCTGAGAAGTTTCGCATAACCTATGAGGCCAGGCAGAGGGTGACCAACATAGCTAACAAAGAGGAGCTGCAAGGACAGGTGCTTCCTGGACTGTTGGTTTTCCCTGGAAAGCACAACAGATTGAGCAATGTAGATGAGAATTGCAAGTACAAGAGAACAGAGAAGTTTGAAGTGAAAGGTGTGGAGGTGGAGCACCAAGCTGGACAGAAGTGCAGAGGCTTAGCTTGGGCAGTTGAGCTGAGGAAGCAGTTTCCAAAAGAGTTTGAAGAGGTGGAGATCATGACACAGCCCAGTTCCAACTGCGATGGAGTTTTGCTAGCATGGATAGTTGAAGAGCAATGTGAAGAAGAGATTTGCAGCTTGTGGATCAGAGATTGCTTCAGTGCAGTTTTCCAGGAACAAGTTGTGCAAAGGCAGTTCACAGGTTGCCAAGCAAGCGCGCAGATCCTGGGGAAGATGACACAGCAGCTTCAGTTGACAGATACTGATTTTGCCAAGAGCTTCAAAGCTAGTTTCAGAAAGCAGCTTGAGGAGCAAAGATTAGCAGCTAAGAAAGGTGGCACAGAGTACAAGATTGGCTACAAAGAGATCATCCTTGCCACAGTTGGAGCTCAGAGAGATGCAGTTCAAAGACAGGTTGACAAAGATTGGATTGTGGGTGGGAGTGTGAGGAATGGCCTAATAGCTTTCAAAGCTTCACCAGAGGAAGGAAAGCTTGTGCCCTTTCTGGATGAAAGTTGGGCCAAAGAAAGAGGTCTGGCACAGGGGTCAAAGAGAATTCCCAACAGTTGGCTGGAGCCGAGGTTCAGCTGGGTCAAAGATGGAATTCCACTGCCTGCAGATTTTGCCCTGAGTTGCAGTGCCACACAGGTGGCTGACTTGATAGAGTGGAGCTACAAGAACCCAAGTGCAGAAGATGAAGATGGAGATGCAGATGGAGGTGGAGACACCCTTGACATATCCAATGAAGATGAGATAGCAACAGAGCTGCAGGTTCCACTTTGGAACAGTTTGTTCCTGAGAATGAGCCCAGATTTGAGAAGAGCTCACATCAGAAGGAAAGCTCAGCAAGATAGTTGGCAAGAGCTTGTCAAGTTGGCAATCGCCAAGGCAAAGATGAAAGCTGCCAGGCAAGCTGCAAGGAAAGCTGCTTTAAGGTTGAGTTTTGCAGAGATCAGGAACAAGCTGGCAAAGATGTCAAAGCGAGAAGCCATGGCAGACATAGTTCCAGTTGCACAAGCAAAGGCCAAGGCAAAGGGGAAGCTCAAGCCTTCAGCAAAGTTGAAGCCCCCTTTGGTCCTCAAAGCTTCTTGCAAAGCAAAGCCAAGTGTGAAGGAGAAAGGTAGCCTTGTAAAGAAAGAGTTAGCCAAGAACAGCAAGAAAAGCGCCAAGGACAAAGCTTTTCTGCTAGCCTTGAAAGATGATAAAAAAGCAGAAGCTGTGAAGAAGGCAGAGGCTGCAAAGGCTGCAGCAGAGCCAGTTGAGGACCTGCAGTTGCATTTCAAGAAAGGAGAGGAGTTGAGAGTTGTGAAGGAAGAAGCAGGTGCCTTGCAGTATGGCAAAGAAGGCAGCTTTCAAAATGCACATCCAGATGGCAAAGCTTCAATCTTCACAGATCATGGTGTGTTGAGTTGCCAGCTGCAGCACTTGGAGTTGAAAGGCAGTTCCTGGAAGAAGGCAGCTGTGTGGAAGCAGTTCACACAGCTTGGCAGGTTGAAAAAGCAGGAGTTCCTGCAGCTTTCAGGTTGCCTGCCAGCTCTGGGAGTTGAAGCAGAAGCAGTTGTGCCACAGCCACCAAAGATGAACCTGCTGGAGGGTAGCCACATAGCTTTGAGCTGGCACCTGCTCAGATGGCAGTTCTCAGGCCATGAGTTTTTGGAGAGCTGCCAGCTTGTGGATGCAGAGTGCACCTACAAGATTGACAAAGAAGAAAGGTGGAAAGAAGAGATTCAGAAGCTGGCAAGCAACAAGATGCACATTTTTGTGCCAGTTCTGGGCAGCCCAGCTCACTGGGCCTTGCTAGTTGGCCACAGGTCCAGTCCAGATGCAGCCTGGCAGTTCTGTTACAGAGACACCTTGGCAGATGAGCATGCAGATTGCAAGCACAAGGCAGCAATAGCAATGCAAGCCCTGACAGCTGCCTCAGAGTTGCCAGAAGTGCCAGCCAGGTGCAACAGCTGCAGGCAAACAGCCTCAGAAAGTGGCCAGCTAGTTCTGTCTTACATTGAGGCAGAGCTGGCAGAGCTAGCTTCAGAAGGCCCAGCTTCCAGAGGCTGGCCAGGTGTGCTGGCCCAGAGCTGGGACAAGAGGTTGGAAGCACTGTACAAGCAGTTGCAGCTAGAAGTTGAGAAAGTTCATGCAGAAGTGGCCAAAGCAAAAGAAAGGGAAAAGAAGCTTGAAGAGCAGCAGGAGCAAAGAAGAATGAAAGCCTTGGAGATGCTTGCCAAGGCAAAAGATCAGAACTCCAAGACAGCTCAAGCAGCAAAGGCAGCTTTTGAGCAGAACTCACAGTATTTCACCCACAAAGATTTGAGCCCAGATGCCAGAGAGGCAGTTTGGAGAGCCAAAGCTGCACTTTTCAGGTGCTCAAAGTGCAGGTGCACAGCCTGCCTAGCTTGCTGCCCAGAGAAAGCTTTGAGCTACTGGGTGAGGAAAGAAGCAGGTGCCAAGAGCAAGGTGCCAAAGATCCAAGGACCAGGGGTGGCTATCTCTCCTCTCCTTCCTGTCCTTTCTCTCTTTCTCTCTTCTTTTTTTGTGACTTTTTTGTGACTTTTTTTTTCATGGGTGGGCAGGGGCTTGTCTTTAATCCAGGTGCTTTTACTAATTATTTTGGGCCCCGAGAAGTCTTTATTACGCGTGCATTTTTTAATCCCATTTGGACATTAGAGGCATCTTCTCTTGGGGGACTTCCGTTTTTGGGTTCCAGGTCAATTTGTAGGAGGGTACACGTGTGTGTGTCTGTGTGTGTGTGTTTTTTTTAAACGCCCTCCCGAGCAAAAGAAAAAGGATCGCGGTTTAAAACCAACCCCAGAAAGGGCCCCCCGAGCCTCAAAGAAGCACAGACCCACATGGGGCCACCTTCCTTTCGGGGCCCTGTTGCCCTTGGGCGCAGCTGACCATTGCGTTCCCTGAATTTGAGTACCTGTCTCCAGGACCCTTAAAAAGATGGTTGGTCCATACCCCAAATTTTCCGGGGCCATGGGCCCATTTTTTCCGGGTCATGGAGGCTCCAGGTACCGAGACTTAAGAAATGCAGCCGCTTTGGCCTGGAAGCGGTCCATTTGTGGATCACCTTCTTTTAAGGGCACAGGCCTTTTGCGGAGCTTGCAGTCGCTCGCACATGGATTTTGTTTTCTTGTTTTTGCTTTTTTTTTCCAGAGGAGTTCTTTGAGATGATGTCCTTGAAGGGTAACATGGGTTGGCATGTTTGAGGGTACCGTTTGCGAAGCTGTGCTGAAAGGCAACGGCATGGCACATTCTGCACATGTCCAATTGCACCCGCATGGATCCTGGAACAATGGCCGCAAGGAGATTCCGCTACGAACAAGCCGCGCTTTACGGATTTGCACAAGATTGCCGGCCTGTCCCTATAGGTCAAGGCCCCTTGGATGTAGTGTCTCCTATGGGGCTCAGGCCCAGCGAATCTCTTAGTTGTAGCCGGACATCTTCAGGTTTGAGGTTGTTCCCTTGGAAAATGGGCATGTCAAAATACTCCCCCCTTAGCCAAGACTTGTAATTTCCCTGTAAACTTCCATTTGCTTAAGACTAGTCTTTATTTTCCCCTGTTGGTTTTAAGGGAACTTATCGCGCCTGGAAGCCACTTTTAGTTTTTTCCCATGGGTTTGGCATCCGCAAATGGAAGCAAACCACTCGAATGCAGGCGGAGATTTGGGAGGGGGACTGGGTGGGCTTGCAGCTGCGCAAGCTGCCCGAGTCGGTCTTCGGGGTGGTCTTTGTGTTGGCGCCTGGGCTGAAAAAACTCGAGGCGCCCAGCGATTCGGAGGCTCACTTCCCGAGTTCCGTTTCGGACTTGACGCTTTTTGGGTTTGGACCATTTGAGCATGGTTGTTGTCGGGAAGCATTTTACATTTTTGCTTATGGTGGTTTAGTGGGAAACCCCCACTTAACTGCTAACATGACAATTTTTGGCTCCCCTTCCAACGTCAACCAAGTGAGTGGTTCATAAGGAGTTTGAGCTCTTTCTTTTTTTTTTGGCTGGTTGTATAGCGATGAGAAGGGATGCTTCCGCCTATTTTGTAGCGAGCTCACCTGGGGGTATAACGAGTTCACCATGATAGAGGTCCCTTAGTTCAGCTATGTTCAGCTTTCGGAACTTTAGCAACATTTGCAGAACCCTTCTTCCCAGCAAACGGCAGAAAAGAAGGTGAATCGGGGTGGGTTCGACAAGAAAGACGGATGGGAGGAAGAGGATATTATCCCGACTTCCGATTTTTGAATTGGAGGAGGGGCGGGTGCCGATAGGCAGGTACAGATTGGAGCTCCCCCACCAGACCAAAAGGTTATTTGCCAAAGCAGGAACTGGTTGAATCCACACATTAGTTGAATCCAAAAGGTGGTTTGATTTTGGCCTTTGCTAGTTCTGCGTTCGATTCGCATTCTGCCGATACTACCATGTGGCAGGCCCAAGCCTAAGCGTTCACTGCCGCAAGGTATAACTCGGAAAGGACACTTATGACTGGATTGGTTCTGCAATGCTTTCTTTTTGTTTCGGGGGTTGTGGTTCTGACTAGGGCTGAAGCTCGGTGATTTAAGCCATCGAAATCGCTCAATTGTGGAGGCGGTGCTTGTTGCACTTTGTGCGTTTGAGCTGTCTACAACCGGATGCTTCAACTTTGAACCGTTGTTTTTGCCTGGGCCCAACAAGGTTAAGCCAGGCACAACGGAATACACATATGCGGCAGATTTGATCAGGTTCAGGGGTTCAGGCGGCTTGCCACAGAGCTGAAAACGGTCATTCCCGGTGCTTTTCTTTGGGTCGAAATCGTTTGTGGGGGATGCCCTCCTCAGAAGGATGCTAGGTCCCCCAGTGGTGCCCTTTTTTGGGGGAGGGTTCCCCTACTAAAATAGGCTACAGAAAACAGGGTACCCCTACTCTATCCTCTCTACTGGAGGACCTAGGATGGGTTTTATTAATCAGGGGTTCCCATTGCGCAGATCCGAGGCTGCTACCGAAGAGACCTTTCCCTGGGCATCGTCGCACGCCTTGACCAACTTCCAGGTGAGTTTTCGCCATATACGAAAACATGCGCTGAGGGGAAACGGGGGCAAAACAAAAAGGCGAAAGTGGCATGACGCTGTTTCACGCACATCGCAATATCCCATGTCTTGGGCTCCGTTTTCAAACCTGTGTCTGTTTGGTGCCCGAGCTCATATGTGAGTCACTGCAGCTCATGATCGGTCGAGGCACATGACAGGCACAGGCTCGCATTAGCAGCGGCGGGTCTTTGGCGTAGCCTTAGAACCTTTGCCCCTTCTGGGGAGACCAGGGGTGTTACCCCGATTACCATGGCTCATCCGATTCAACTTGAGCAGGAATCCTTACCTAAGCCTTGACTGGACGCATTGGGAAGGGGGCTACTAGCAAACAGCTTCTATGGACTAAATGCCAACCCAGCAACTCGCCTGCCCAAAGCGAGTCGACCTTTTGACATTATGGCGTTCAATGTCTGGTCCATTTTCAGAAAAGGTCCCAAAAGTTTAACCTTGTCGTTTCCAGGTCCTTTGGCAAGTGAAGTAAAGGAAGGTGAAAAAGAGGTTTCAACAATGGAAAGCGAGCCACTTCCCATGGGTGTTTGGTGCTCTGGGGCAGGGGTAGTTACCCCTAGCGGAGCGTTTACGTATTTTTTTGCAACGCAGGAGCTGACTTTGACGCTTTGCCGGGAGAACGACACGCTCTGGAGATACCGCCAGCCACAGTTGCGTGCCGCGGCCGCCTGTTTCCTTCCCCAAAGAGTCGGTTTGAAGCAAGGGGGAGTGAACAAGAAAGTCCGGGAAGGTGTGGAATTGTGTACAGTCCCAGCATATTCCACTTTGCGGGGTAGGCTTTCAACATCACCTGTTGAGCAAATGTTAAAGTGAGTTGTCTTGTTGCGGGCTAAACGGGGAACCTGGTCCCGCAAAGGCGTCAAAGGCTTCAAACGGCTAACCCGTGCTTGATTTCATCTCGGCACTTGGCGAACAACCTGAAAGATGCCCATTTCCGATCTGAACAGGTCGAGCTTTGGCCGAGAAGGAACCTCGTTGTCCACCAGCCATTGGGAAAGGTCCTTTTTGTCAGTTAGCCTTTAATGGGGGTTTGGATTGGTGGTGTGGGGATTAGAACCCATGGTTCTTGTAGTGGGTAGATCGGAAACCACCCCAGAATCTTCAATCCACCAATCTGAAGGAAGCTGATCTTAAATAAAGAAGGCAAGGAATAACAATGTCCGGGCCGTCACCATTCCAAAGGTTCGCAAACACAAACGCGTCCCGTAACAATGCCACCCGCATTCAGTATGGCACTCCTCAGCACTGGGGGAAACTCAACGGCACATCTCTGGCATCTTTCCATTGGTGCTCTATTGGATAATCGGACCATCCAGGTGCCGGGTGCGGGGGGGGGGGGGGAGAGGCACAAACTGTGTGTCACCTGCCTTCTTGCTCGACGGCTCTCCTATGCGTTCCTTCTACTTTTCGGTGGGTACGAAGCTTCCTCGTGACCCTGGAGTTGTCCAAAGCAGGCTTCAGGTTTCTTGTCTTTAGTGGCTGGGACCACAAGAACAGCTTACCAAGTTTAAATTTGGAATGCTGAAACGCGTTTGCACCAGGCGGAACGAGTCGTTCTACATCAGAACCGTGCCGTTTCGTTTTTAAGGTCAAAAGTCAATCTCTGCAAACTGTATCTTCCCATGGATGAAGGACTAGAGTAACAGGAGGGCGGCGTTGTTGCTTTCCGTTAACCACTGGCAAGTGAAGTGCCGTGAGCCAAAGGAAGACCACATTGAGAAAAACTGACCCTGAAAGCAAACCTCCGCGCAAAGTTGAAGCTCCTCCCCCCAGCCGGAACGTACCCATAGGTCTTAAAATGCGATTTGGACCCAAGGAAGGTGGCTGTTTTGGTGGTTTCCCTTCAAAGCAACCCCGATCGAAGGTGCCCTTGAGAAGAGAAAGACCCATTTTCAGGCCAGCATTCCCAGCTTCACGGGAGTCATGTATCCCACGGCAGGCATCAAAATTATGTTGTGTACCCTTACAAACTCACCCCTAAGGTGGTACCCAATTTTGCCGGGAAACCATCCCCCCCCCCCAATATTTAGCTTTGCTGCCTATGCATGGGACACCTTCAGGGTGTAGAAACCCACTTCTGTCTCAATCAACTTGCTTTTCGCTCCTGGGTCAAAAAAGGCAAACCCAAGCTATTTTCAGGAGGTCCCTTCATTTCTTAGCCCAGGAAACCCAAGGCAAACCCAACCTACCTGCAAATCCCTTCATTCCCTTCATTATTTGGCTAGGCAAACCTAAAAAGTGTTGGCCCAGACCCAGGGAAAAATCCAACCCACCCTCTGCAGTTCCCTTCATGTCTTACCCAACGGGGGGCAAACCTAAAAGCATCCATGTGTTGGCCATTTGTTCCTCCATGTTTTCCTCCATCCATGTTTTGGTCATTTTTGTGGCCAAGAAAACACATCTCAGTCCAGAGCTCGCCTCAGGGGAGAACCCACCCCCTGGAGGTCCCTTCATGTTTTAGCCACGGGGGGCAAACCTAAAAGCATCCATTTTTTGGCCATTTGTTCCTCCATGTTTTTCCTCCATCAATTGTTTGGCCATTTTTGGGGCCAAGAAACAGCATCTCAGTCCAGAGCTCGCCTCAGGGGAGAACCCACCCCCTGAAGTTCCCTTCATGTTTTAGCCAAGGGGGGCAAACCTAAAAGCATCCATTTCTTGGCCATTTGTTCCTCCATGTTTTTTCTCCATCCATTTTTTGGCCATTTGTTGGCCACCCCCTGAAGGTCCCTTCATGTTTTAGCCAAGGGGGGCAAACCTAAAAGCATCCATTTCTTGGCCATTTGTTCCTCCATTTTTTCCCTCCATCCATGTTTTGGCTATTTTTTTGGCCAAGACAAAGCATCTCAGTCCAGAGCTCGCCTCAGGGGAGAACCCACCCCCTGGAGGTCCCTTCATGTTTTAGCCAAGGGGGGGCAAACCTAAAAGCATCCATTTCTTGGCCATTTGTTCCTCCATTTTTTCCTCCATCCATGTTTTGGCCATGTTTTGGCCAAGAAAAAGCATCTCAGTCCAGAGCTCGCCTCAGGGGAGAACCCACGCCCTGGAGGTCCCTTCATGTTTTAGCCAAGGGGGGCAAACCTAAAAGCATCCATTTCTTGGCCATTTGTTCCTCCATTGTTTCCCTCCATCCATGTTTTGGCCATGTTTTGGCCAAGAAAAAGCATCTCAGTCCAGAGCTCGCCTCCGGGGAGAACCCACTCCCTGAAGGTCCCTGCATGTTTTAGCCAAGGGGGGCAAACCTAAAAGCATCCATTTTTTGGCATTTTGTTTCTCCATTTTTTCCCTCCATCCATTTTGTGGCAGTTTTTTGGCCAAGAAAAAGCATCTCAGTCCAGAGCTCGCCTCAGGGGAGAACCCACTCCCTGAAGGTCCCTTCATGTTTTAGCCAAGGGGGGCAAACCTAAAAGCATCCATTTCTTGGCCATTTGTTCCTCCATTTTTTCCCTCCATCCATTTTGTGGCAGTTTTTTGGCCAAGAAAAAGCATCTCAGTCCAGAGCTCGCCTCAGGGGAGAACCCACTCCCTGAAGGTCCCTTCATGTTTTAGCCAAGGGGGGCAAACCTAAAAGCATCCATTTCTTGGCCATTTGTTCCTCCATTTTTTCCCTCCATCCATTTTGTGGCAGTTTTTTGGCCAAGAAAAAGCATCTCAGTCCAGAGCTCGCCTCAGGGGAGAACCCACTCCCTGAAGGTCCCTTCATGTTTTAGCCAAGGGGGGCAAACCTAAAAGCATCCATTTCTTGGCAATTGTTCCTCCATTTTTTCCTCCATTCATTCTGATCATTTTTTGGCCAAGAAAAAGCATCTCAGTCCAGAGCTCGCCTCAGGGGAGAACCCACTCCCTGAAGGTCCCTGCATGTTTTAGCCAAGGGGGGCAAACCTAAAAGCATCAATTTGTTGGCCATTGTTTCCTCCATTTTTTCCTCCATCAATTGTTTGGCCATTTTTGGGGCCAAGAAACAGCATCTCAGTCCAGAGCTCGCCTCAGGGGAGAACCCACCCCCTGAAGTTCCCTTCATGTTTTAGCCAAGGGGGGCAAACCTAAAAGCATCCATTTCTTGGCAATTGTTCCTCCATTTTTTCCTCCATTCATTCTGATCATTTTTTGGCCAAGAAAAAGCATCTCAGTCCAGAGCTCGCCTCAGGGGAGAACCCACTCCCTGAAGGTCCCTGCATGTTTTAGCCAAGGGGGGCAAACCTAAAAGCATCCATTTCTTGGCCATTTGTTCCTCCATTTTTTCCCTCCATCCATTTTTTGGCCATGTTTTGGCCAAGAAAAAGCATCTCAGTGCAGAGCTCGCCTCAGGGGAGAACCCACCCCCTGGAGGTCCCTTCATGTTTTACCCAACGGGGGGGACAACCTAAAAGCATCAATTTGTTGGCCAGTGTTTCCTCCATTTTTTCCTCCATTCATTTTCTGATCATTTTTTGTCCAAGAAAAAGCATCTCAGTCCAGAGCTCGCCTCAGGGGAGAACCCACTCCCTGAAGGTCCCTGCATGTTTTAGCCAAGGGGGGCAAACCTAAAAGCATCAATTTGTTGGCCATTGTTTCCTCCATTTTTTCCTCCATCCATTGTTTGGCCATTTTTTGGCCAAGAAAAAACATCTCAGTCCAGAGCTCGCCTCAGGGGAGAACCCACCCCCTGGAAGTCCCTTCATGTTCTAGCCAAGGGGGGCAAACCTAGAAGCATCAATTTGTTGGCCATTGTTTCCTCAATGTTTTCCTCCATCCATGGTTTGGCAATTTTTTGGCCAAGAACAAGCATCTCAGTCCAGAGCTCGCCTCAGGGAGAACCCACCCCCCTGGAGGTCCCTTCATGTTTTAACCAACGGGGGGCAAACCTAAAAGCATCCATTTGTTGGCCATTGTTTCCTCCATTTGTTTCCTCCATCCATTGTTTGGCCATTTTTTGGACAAGAACAAGCATCTCAGTCCAGAGCTCGCCTCAGGGAGAACCCACCCCCCTGGAGGTCCCTTCATGTTTTACCCAACGGGGGGCAAACCTAAAAGCATCCATTTGTTGGCCATTGTTTCCTCCATTTGTTTTATGCATTGTTTGGCCATTTTTTGGCCAAGAACAAGCATCTCAGTCCAGAGCTCGCCTCAGGGAACCGATTCCCTGGATGTCCCTTCATGTCTTAGCGAAGAGGGGCAAAGAAGCATCCATTTGTTGGCCATTGTTTCCTCCATTTGTTTTCTCCATCCATTGTTTGGCCATTTTTTGGCCAAGAACAAGCATCTCAGTCCAGAGCTCGCCTCAGGGAACCGACTCCCTGGATGTCCCTTCATGTCTTAGCGAAGAGGGGCAAAGCTAAAAGCATCAATTGTTTCCTCCATTTTCTCCTCCATCCATTGTTTGGCCATTTTTTGGCCAAGAACAAGCATCTCAGTCCAGAGCTCGCCTCAGGGAACCGACTCCCTGGATGTCCCTTCATGTCTTAGCGAAGAGGGGCAAAGCTAAAAGCATCAATTTGTTGGCCATTGTTTCCTCCATTTTTCCCTCCATCCATTTTTTGGCCATTTTTTTTGGCCAAGAACACACATCTCAGTCCCTCGCAGGGGAGGAGTGCAACGCCCTGGCCAGCTGCTGCCTCTACCGCGGTTCCCGGCAGAGCTGGCGCTTGGAGCCCATGAACCTGGCCATGCCGCCCGACCAGCGGCGGCGCAGGGGGCGCAGGGGGCGCAGGGAGCGCCCCTTGCGGTCGTGAACGAGGGTGCCATCGATGGAACCCGTTTTGGAGGGTTTCAAAGGCGGAAAAAGCGCAAAGGGCATCAAAGCATCAAGAATCAAGCGCAAGAAACGGAATTGGGGGGGGGGGTGCCGCAACTTGGAGACTGCGTGCTTCCTGAAACTGGGGCAGACATGGCACAAGGGGGAGGATGGCGATGTGTTTTAGGCCCCTATTCGCCTTTGGAGAGCGTCAGTCCAAGGCGCCTGGTGTACATTGACAAGGCGCGCTGGCGTGAGGGCTGCGCCTGATCTCTCTAGACGCACTTTGTGGCTACGAAGGTCGTTTGCTGAATTGGAGTAGCGGCGTCACCTGTTAAGCCCCTTAAACAAGATGCCTTCTTCGTGCAGAGAATCCGTCATTTCCCTTTCATTTCAATGGACACCCACCAGTGATTTGGGGAACTCCGGTGACTCTGTCGGGGCTCATCTTTCCCTTGAGCCCACCTTGGACTTCCGCAAGTGTTGCGAGTGCGTTTCTTCCAACGGAGCTGCATGCAGTTTTTCCGGGTGCTCGTAGAATTCTTTGAGGGCAATCGGGCCTTGGTTTAAAGGGAAGCCAACAGGACCCCGACCTTTGCCACTTCGGGGGGTCTTGCTTTGTCTCCCCTCCCCCTAAGCCAGGGCTTGCGGCTCCGAAGGGCTTGTTGATCTCAAAGGGAGAGCAGCGAGGGAGTCATTTTGAGCAAGCCTAGGTGAAGTCAGGCGTAAGTGCGGTGTACTCTTTTTGACAGCTGTTCCTGTTTCCAGGGTTTTCATTCTGGCCATTGAGGCTTCCCAAGTGATCCTGCCCTGAAATGCAGGTGTCGCTTGGCACCTCTGTGTTTCCAGCTTCCGCGCAGGGAAGGGCTGTGTCAAACCTGGGGACTGCTCCCATTCTCATGGTGTCACGCTGGTTCAACCCAGAACCGTTTGATCACATCAATAGCCAGCCCATTTAAGCAGGGTCTCGTGAAAGGCGGGGCACCCTCAAGAAGAGCAACAACAAACGACAAAGGGTCCCTAAGCTCGAGACCCTTGTGGCGCTGGCTCTCGTTTCGTTGTAGCCGATTCAACGGTTCCAATGCCCTTGACATGTTTTTTAATTTGCCGAGGTGCTTGTGTGAACAGTGCCATTGTTGTTAGCATGCATCCTCACCTTAAGCACAGGGCACTCCTATACTAGACTGGTTCATGTTTAATGTTGACCCCTGATGAATAAGCCCCGCCCCTATTCAGGTGGGTCCCTCTGGAAGAAAGGATTCACCACTAAAGTGTGGGGGGAGCAATTCTGGGTCAGCATTGTATCACTTGGTGTGCAGCAGTTGTTTTGGGCCAGTAGGACGGTATAAAAATTCTGCTCGCCTAGGTGAAATAAGGATGGCACCCGCATTGAAATTTGTGCGAGCATGTTTTTTTTTTTGTTTGGAAAGTTATGTTCAGCTCTTTTTTTGTTCAGCATGGTAAGTGAGTTGCACCCGTTTCTGTTCAGCTCTTTTGTGGCAATTGAGTTGCACGTGGTAAGTTGAAAGCTTACGAGCTGAACATGTGGCCAAACATATGGCCAACCCTGGTGCGTGCAGGAGGATGTGGATCCTTGCACTGCAGCCGCGGAGATTGCGCGCTTGGCAACTAACAAGGTTCAGCACATGATCAAGGAGTCTCCGGAAGTTCTGTTGCTTCACTTGGGTATGGGTCAAAATCAACCCACCAGGGAACCGCAGGTTTTAGTCTTCGGTTCCATTTATCAGGGTTCCATTTTGGGTACGCATTTTGGACCCACAGCCACTTGTCCGTGTTTCGGCGGCCAAGGGAAGCTCGCTTGACCCCAAATCGATTATTGGGCCTAGCTTTGGCGCCTTGCCACATGCAAACGGCTGTCTACGCCTGCCTTTGGGGGTGGGTTCAGTCCCCCCTGGCCGTCATTAACCCAAACCAGATGTTGGCGGTTGCCTGGTCTTCGTTGTTTTTGCCGTTTTAAGTCAGTTGCCCCCTGACAGGAACATGTTGATCTCGCAAGGGAGCCTAACTACAATTTCGGTGAAATGGGCGTCTTTTTTGGGGGACCTCCAAAATGGCCCAATGAGAATCACCAAAAAGAGTATCCTGAAAAGACAGATCCACATTCTCTGTGTTCCCTGCGATATCTTCGTAAGGTGCCCTCCTGCAAGCACGAGGTCTTCGATCGCGACATTGGTGAAAGCGAATCTACTTGTCCAGGGATCATCGGCTGAGTCGATCGGCTCATGCATTTGGAAGAGGTGGCGGTCGCACGCGGAGTTTGGAATTGGGAGGCAAGCCTAGGTTCACAATAGACGGTAGAGTGACTTTCACCTCAATTGGCACTCCAAACCTCTACAAGGCTTCCTGCATTTCCTTTTGCGAAACCTTTAAAAGTGGCAATTTGCAACTTTTGAGGGTGAAATCCATTGACCCCTTTTTACTTCACATTGCTAGCACGGCTTTCGCAGCTTGACACGTTCGCAGGACCGCTGCTGGCAGACAGCTTGCGACGAGCGAGGCGAGCATTCGGTTCTGTTCTGGAGGCGTTGCTTCCTGTGCTGTTGTGACATTGTGCTTGCGTGTTTTGCCGCCTTTTCCTGAAAGGGGCCATGGGCCAAAACCCAAATCGTACCCCCAGTGAACATCCCAATCGGGACCCACTAAAATAGACTAAAATGGGTGGTGCACCTATCCCAAAATGGTACCATTGGTTTTGAACCATGGCCAAGGTTTGATTGACATAGAGACAGCGGCTGACAAGGGCACCTGCCAAGGCTTGGGATTCCTCGCCCCCCATGTCCTCATCACAAGGAGATGTAGCCTCACGTTTTTGGCACAAGGCAGCATCCTGGTCCCACATGTATGAATCAACTATGAAAGCTGAGCTTTGGATTAGGAGCAGTTGGCATGTACCCCTCAGGCTGCACCCACAAAGATTCTTCAGTTGGCCAGGGGTTCCCGAACTTGCAACCAAATTGCGCCCGGTTGACCTGACCCAAGCCGCCCGCAGCACATGTGGGTGTGGGTCAAAATTAAACCACCCGGGGACCGCAGGTTTTGAGTCTACTTTTCCACTTCCCAGGGTTCCATTCTGGGTACCTTGACCCACAGCCTGAGATGACATCACGTCAGGCTTACATTTGCCCGGCAACAACTTCGTGTGAGCGATGCGTGCCTAAAGGCTCGGCCCCGTGCCGAAGCCTGAAATAGGTCCGTACTAATAGATATGTATGTATATGTATATATGTACACATATATTCTTATTATGAATGCATCAAGGGTTTCTACCAAATACCAAGTCGCAGAGGCACAATATGTGTGGAACATCAATGTGCTAATTAGTTGACTGCTATTGGGTTGGATCTTTAGACTTTAGCTTTTTGGTTGAAATCCAGTTGGGTTTTCCACTAACCCCCCCAAAAAATAAAAAGAAGAAGTGAGAAACTGTTTGCAGAGGGGTCGTTACAGCAACCAAGTGCAACCACACGTTTTAGCAACAGGCAGCATCCGCTGAGCTTTTAGCACTATGAATCACAATATGCGGAACAGCAAAGTGCGAATTACGTTTTTCAGCACTGCTTTCCCTGGGGCGCGCGGCTCACCGAGTCACCGAGCCTGGATCGAACATTTGCATGGCCGGGCGCGTGGGGCTTCCGCATGGGCTGTGCGGGGTTCCTTATGTCCAGTTTGCGGACCATAGCAGTTTTGCCCAGATCTTTGTTTAGGTTTCACATGCTATATCTTTCTTTGGGTTGAATGCCAGGCCTGTGCGTTCCGGCAATATCGAATTCGGATGATCAGCCCAGATTTTTGCACCTGAGCTTGGCTTGGTGCACGTCGGGCTTGGGCGATACGCCTATCGCCGCTTAAAAACGGGTTCCCTCTAGACCTCCCCTTCTAACATGCCCCCGCCAAAAAGAAACGCGCTGAGAGAGTTCCCAACAAATTGATGTGTCAGCCAGCAACAGGGGACATGTGGGGGACCCTGTTTCGAGGTTTTAGACCGCAAGGCAAGAAAAAAGAGCGGAGTTGAAGCGAATTAGGGGAGGAAAGGAGCTCAACGTAGCTGCAATGCGGCTCCATGTGTTTCTTTTCAACACAGAAAAGAGGGGGGTGTTTTTTAACTGGGGACCCCCTGACAAAAACATCATCTAAGTTGGGATTCTTGGTCCACCAGCTATGTGGGAGGCGGGCGGTGTAAGCCTGACACCTTGAGCTGTAAAGGAAAGGGATGTAACGACAGTGTGTGAGTCCTATCTGTATCCTTTCATTATCTCGTCACTTCTCCAATTAAAAGATTTCCAAGAAGATAGGAAAGGATTAGATGGAATGGGGATGTGTGTCTTAATGCTGGATCTCTTCCCAGTCAGTCTTCTTCAAATTCAGGAATCTCTTTGTCAGTATATGTTTCCTTTCTTCCTAACCTGTCTTTTCATGCAATTTTACATCTTAATGTCATCTATTTTCTTCATCAAGGATTTCCCAAAGGGATAGATAGATGGGTTATGACTAAGAGATTAATCCTGGAATTTATTTCATCTACTTCCTCATCATTATCCATTCTTAGTCATCAATTGGATAAGGAATCTAGAGACAGATAATTCCTAAGAGAATTACATGATGAGAAGAAATAATTACATCCTCAATCCACATTCTGTGTTAGCTGATATCTGTCTTTAGGATACACGTTCATATCTTGGAAGATCTTGAATGAAGTTACCATGATAATTCTAGCCCTTTCTGTAAAGACTGCTATCTTCTCTATCTCATTTGTAACCTATAGATTTATTATTTATATCTTCATGGATTAATGCTTGTAATAACTTGTAAAATAAGAAATCCAGACAATAAATAACAATGAATGATAAAATGATAAAAGAGAGAGCAATAAAAGCATTAGAAAGGAACATATGGTGATTGAAGATGAACTCATGTAGCAGCTAATATTAATGATGGATCTCTTTCTACATCTTATCTTTTGGGGTTTAATTTCATTCTCATGTCCAATTCTCAGCGTTTAGGGTTCAATGAGTCTGGAGCAGGGCTGGTTCTTGCACGGTGTCTTCAACATGGCCTCACAGCACCTGCCTTTCCTTGCTGGATGCATTGCAGCGCAGAGCGAGCCATTGCAACTCTTCGCCGCCATCTACCACGGAGTTTGCCTGGCATCCTGATTCCAAAAAAACGTTGCTGACGGCGTGCGGCGGTCCGGATCACGGAAAGATCGTGCAGCAATCTGAATCTCAACGGCTTCACATCTGCCAGTTTGG